ACCTCAAGACCCTAAACCCTTAACCCTAAACCCTGAACCCTAAACCCTAAATCGATCAGGAGCGCAAGGAGCGTCAAAGGCAGTATGCCCAGATCCTGGACCCGGTGAAGGTGCACGACTTACTGGATGTTTTGGGGTTGCGGGCTTAGGGTTATAGGTTGTAGGATTATAGGGTTTATGGTTTAGGGTTGTAGGGTTATAGGGTTTAGGGTTCAGGATTTGGGGTTTCGGGTAGGGCGTTGAGATTTGGGCATAGGACTGTTCGGAGCACTGAGCAACTGGGTTAGCAACAGTGTTCGTGGGGCGATTCAGGGGACTACAGATGCTGAAGCTGGGGGAAGAGAATAATCAGCCCTACGTGGGCGCAGCTATCTTGGAAGAGGAGGTTGCCAAGTGGCTGAAGTGAACCCACCACAGCGGTTGAGGTTTTAGGGTTTAGGGTTTGGGGATAGAATCATGACAGAGACGCACCCTTCACTACCTACCCGCCGTTGTGTTTTTAACGAGGGGTCCTAGCTTCATGGGGGCTATATTGGGGTTGTAGATAGAATATACAAAAGTCACACATCTCTGCATGTGTATCATAGGGAAAGTTAAAGCTCCAAGTGTAACGTGGGATCTTTGCAGCTCAGCCCAAAGGTCCGGTGAACTACCAGACCTCAAAAACAGATGCTGTTTCTGGATTTAGGGGTCCAGGGGCCCTAAACCCTGAAACCCTAAAGCCCAAAACCCCTAAAGTCCAAACACAGGGGTGTAGGTTTATCATCCCAGACCTCTCTAATCCATACGGAAGTTGCTTTTTCAAAAGTACCCTGATATCATCCCCAAAAGGGACCCCCACATATACCCAATGTAAGCCCAAAGTTTAGTCCGATTTTAAGAAGCTGTCATTTCTGACTTGGCCTTGCAACCTCCGAACACGTCTTATGCGGCCTTGCCAACTCTGTGACTTGGTGACAGGTATTATAAAACGATGCAAAACCCTCACTCCACAACAACAAGTTCTAAACCATGGCCTCCAATACCCGAACCTCAAAATCCCAAATCTTCGCAGGTGCAGATCGAGAAGTTGGAGCAAGGCCTCATCCGGGAGCAGCAGATACGTCAGGTCCTGGCCCCCCCCTTTGGGCAAGCCGCAGCCAGCTTTGATGGCCGGTGTTTTGTAAGTTTAGACAGGGTGATCTAAACTCCTTGAAGGGGGTTATACGGGGGATTCTATAGGGGACTACTATAGGAGTTACTAAGGCGGTTATAGGGGTTATAGGGGGGATTATATAGGGGACTACTATAGGAGTTACAAAGGGGGCTACTAGGAGTTGAGACTATAACAGCTTTCCTAGCAGATCAAGGGCTACAGGCATTATAGTTATTTGGAGTTCCAATAGCGATTTCTGGGATGGAAATGATGAACTAGAAATTCTGCCAAGCGTAGATTCCCAGGGAGAATAATACCCCTTAACTAGGGAATATTCCTTAAATCATACTACGAACTCTAATATGATTTAAGGTATATTCCCTCATTAAGCTATATTGGGCTCTCTGGGTTGTAGACAGGCAGTGCAGGCATAAGGGGGCTCAGGGAAGATGGACTCCCGCCTGCTATCCCGGAGACCGACTGGAGGCACGGGATGAAGGTTTGAGGCACGATGTACTGGGTGATCTTATAAGGACATACAAGGTTTTAGGGAGTTTCCAACAATTGGGGTCCGTGTATATATTCCTAGACATATATATATATATACATATATATTCTATTCCTAATGATGAGGACCCCCAAACACGGACTGCTATTTAAGCGGTTACCAGAGTCCTAGAGTGACCGCTTCCTGCTCATCGCGGCATGGCAATCCATCAGCCATTGCCTACTCATGTTTGGTGCTTGACTTCAGGTTGATATTTGGGTGATTCCCAAGATTAAGGTTACCTTCTTCTATGTTCCCCAGAAGTCGAATTCTAGTATTTTGTGGTCTATGTTGAATTCTGGGGTCCCCCTGTTTTGGGAAACTAACATTCAGAGTTGTGATGCCAGAGCTTGCTCCCTTTGCAAGTCCCTAGACCCAGTGACAGCCAGAACTTGCTTTCGGACTCTGAAGGTGAATTTTCCATATCATAGCGCATGCATGGGGTTCTGCGCCCCATCATCCATTATGAGTGTGTTCGATACTGAGAGCTCTACAGAAGCCCTTTGCCCTAGCCCCACTCCGCTGACAATGCATACTCACACGGCTGTGTAAGGGCAGTTGGGAATATTCAGCCACAAGATGTGGTTTCCAAGTCTGTGGAGCCCTAATAAGCAAAAGCTGCAACTCTGGAGACCCCGCAAATGCTTCAACTCCACAGCGCGGACAACTGCTTAGTAACGATGCTCCCTAAAACTCGAGGCTCCTAATTCCTAAAATAAACCAAGAGCAGCCAAAAGCTCAATTCTCCGGGCGCGCCTCGCCGCCGTGCTTGGTAGTCGGAAATGGCGACTTGACCAATCTAGGGCTGGATTCTTTTGGAATGTTAAGCCCGCAGCACGCCTCATGAAATTGCAGCAACTTGAGAAGTATGGGTGACGTTGATTGGATTAGGCTTCTTTCATCTGCTCTGGGGAAAGCAATGCTTGGTTTACAAAGCATTCCGAAGCCGGCGCTCCTGCCCCCCTGAAGCCAAACAAGAAAAACGGTTCATGGAACACATCCCTGCACCACCCTAGATCCATAAGCCCCAGGAATTACCGGGTATGAGAAGTGGTGCAAGATTGTCCACGACCCACTGTACGGAATGTCTCGCACGAATCCTGCGGGAAAGACCCTCAGCAAATACTACAGCAGCAGTCAGGGAAACAGCAAGTTCCCGCAATAGTGGCTAAAGTTGCTCATGCTGAATGCCGTGCAGCCAGGACCGGGTTATAGTCCCCCTTAAGTAGATAGAATATGGCTTTGGGTATATTATAATGAGATCTCCATATAAGCCATATTCTATCTACTTAAGGGCGACTATATATCAAGTGACCTTGTGGAAGGAATGGCAAAGTGGACTACACCAGCCTGAATTCTGGAGCAGATTCTGTGTTTTGTGTTTCTTCGGTTTAGGGCACACCACGACACGCAAGGATTTCTCATTCTCACATAAAACATGGATCCTCTAGGGAACGCGTCTGCCATGGTTTCCACCATTTTTTCATTTTCTGTGTGCTTCAGTAGCAGGGCTTTTTGGGCGGTTATTCTGAGAAGCCACTGGGCTGCAGACTTTAGGGTTTAGGGTTCTATACAACCCGCCCTGTAAGGAGTTTAGACTAGACTGAAGCTCATGTGCATTTTGCTGCGGCGCTGACTTTGGCAGCTAACGAATACCCAAGTCCGAAACTTATCCAACACCAAAACAATCTGAGAGTTGCCCTGAACCACAATTGTTATGATGGTTATTACTATAGTTATAACCGTACTTGTTAATTATTGTCATTATTCTTGGTATTCTTGCAATTATCACGGTCTTATGGTTCTGTGTCTTGCCAGCATCATTCGCCCTCCCAGTAGTGTCAATGCCAAAGGCTAGGCTAGCAATTCCTGGAATTGTACAGGACATTGGGTGACCACCCGTCGTATACATGGCGACGCCGACCCAGCAGCAGATGTGCGAGCAGCACACCTGCATCCAGTTAATGAAGAAGCTTCAGGAACTACCAATATTATGGTCACGGGCTCCTTGTAAAGTATGGTATAGGTACTTCAAACAGGCCTGAACATGAGGTTGGTAGTTCATGAGCCTTCTACATTAGCCAACACTTCGCGCAGTCCTTGATACTTTTGATGGACACGCTCATGTTGACCCTAAGCATCTTTGCGACCAGAACATATATAGGGTCATGCAGCAATTTGTCAATCCCTAAGGGTCCAAAGTACCCAATATTCATATACTCCCCCCAAACCTGTACTGCAAGTATTATCACCCGAATCCTAAGTACCCAACTATTGGGTACTTGGACCCATAGGGTTCGTAAATCTGCATGGGCTCGGCTTAAGCCTCTGTCTCTCAAAGTTCGTCAGCCTGCAAATATCAAAGCACGTGGGCAAATCGTGAAAAAAGGTGGGGCCAAGACCTTGAATGTTGCTTTCCTTTGGGCTAATGGAGGAGTCCCATGAGCAATAGACGTCCTCCGCCCATCAAATGGCCCCAGTATGAGCGTCTTTCTTTAGTGTTTATCTGTCGCAGCCCACGGCAGCCTCTGAAACCAATAAGTCTTGCTAAGATCAGCTTACAGCATGAAACACCGTTCATTGTTTGCTGCTAAGGAGCCCCTTGAACAGTAGCCATGCACTTTTAACAGTACGCCTGTACTAGTTTAGGTGCGTTTTATCGAAATTTGGGCAGCGTGCCCAAGTTGTTCCCGCACTCCGAAGGTGAAGACTTCAGCAAGTCACCCCCCGACGCATATTTATAAAGCCCCGAAACTTTTAAGCTGAGCAGTCTCTAGGCCCTAAACCCTATGTAACCCCATCATAGTAGTTTCCATGTCTTCCATTTTCCCTATGTAGCCCCTAATGTGGCCCTTTGCCTAAGAGGCACTTCATGCCCATCCTGCGGGAAAAGGGCGTCCGCATCGAGAAGAAGGGCTTGCGATTGGCGAGGTATCAGTCAAAGCAGACCCAGACACTTTAGGGATTGCGGGTTTAGGGGTTTAGGGATTTAGGGTGAAGGGGTTAAGGGGTTTAGGGATTTAGGGTTTAGAGATTTAGGGTTTAGGATTTATGGTTTAGAGTTTAGGGTTTTTGGTCAAGGGGTTTAGGGTTTAGGGCTTAGGGATCCCATTTTACAAATAATTGCAGCATCAAATGGAAAAGAACGTGGAACATGAAATGGGAACTAGGGTTACACTGGGGATTCTTGGGATAATAAAGGGCTTAAGGGATCCAAGTCTACAAATTATAATTAATACCTACATTGGGCTTTAAAGTCCATCCATATAACCTGCATCGGGATACTTGGATCATAAGGGTTTTGGTTTGAGGGTCTGGGGTGTATGGATTAGGGCTGGGGTTTAGGGTTCATGGTTTAAGCCTTGGGGTTTAGGGTTTGGAATTTTGGGTGCAGGGTTTTATGTGAGAGCCAGGGCTTGCTTTTAGAGGTTACTTCGCAGTTCATTTCAGCAATGATTGTTTGTCGTTTTTGGATTTTGATCTACGGCCTCTAGGACTTGGGCTCAGGGCTTGCAGGGCTGCTTTTCTTCTTCCTATCGAGGCATCACGACAAGTATTGAAACCGGGAGGTCTGGGAGGAAGCATCTAATTATGTCTCCCAGTCGGTACACCCCAACATTGAAACCCAAGACGTGCAAGCATAATAATCCCAATCTCCATTTCATTTTCCATTTTCTTTTCCATTTGATTCTCCATTATTGGGGTCCCTCCCCTATATATATATATATATCAAACGCGCCCCCCATCAGCACCTCTCAGTTGAGCTGAGCTTTTGTGGTTCGTTAGAGCTGGCATGATGCCCTCGGAGGGTCTCTGATCAGGTTACAAGAAAAAGTGGTCTGTTTGGCATGACACTTGGATAAAGAGCTCTTCATTTGCTAAAGCTCTGCGCAAAAGTGTTCCAGGGGCCACCAACAGGAGCTTAAGGCTTCACGGCTGCTTCTGCAGGATTGCAGACGCTCTTTGCCAGGATGTCAGATAGATTACGGGATTTCCCCAACATCCTAAACACACTGCCTTACTAAAAGCCAGACCCCAAGCCACGCATGATGCCCACTAAGCACCTTAACCCCCATTTCCCCATCACCCTGCGATGGAGGCCGGCCCGACCAGACGAGGAAGTGCTGACCATCGTGAATGGGGAGGTCCTCACAAGGCTTGGGCTCTAGCTGGACCTGAGCTACTGAACAATCAAATTGAACATGCAACATTGATAGGATTTATAGGGTTTGCCTTCTGGTCAAGAAGGAGCATGCAGGATAACAGGTTTTTGCTTGACTAGGTTTATGAGATTGGGTCCATGAGTGGGCACCATTTTTAGGGTCTAGGTAGGTTCGTTTTGTGCTCAGCAGCCAGGATTTGGTGCTTGAATGGTCTTGGCTTCAAGCTGTATGTGGAGTCTTCTGTAGTGCCTAGGGTCAAGACG